AACGTCCTGATCCTGTTCATATCTTTGATAATACACGACAAACAATCGTTTTTATATGAACTTGAATTCAGTAAAACATATCACATGATGTGTGTCTTTTGTAGACTTTCAGATTGCAGATGGTAGACGCTGCTGGTGGACTTTTAGTCCCCGAGGTTTTCCTTTCCGTAATCTGCATGCCACATCTTAATTTCATTTGAATAGGGGCATGGTTCAGAATATACACATGTACTCGTTATTGTTCTGTCATTATCAGACATATAGAATTTATTGAAAAGTATTGAATTATGAAGCTATTACACCTCCCCATTAAGATTGAGTTTTTTTTTTTTTAAATTTCTTTCAGTTATTTCAGATTTTCTTCATTCACCTCTCAGACTTCAAAATTTAATTCCTTAGCATAACGGACGAGTCCTAGAGGGCAAAACAGCTGTGCGATACAGCTTTATGCCTTGTTGCACTCAGCCTTATCTACCTATAAGTTTACATAAACCATGTGGTTTTTGTACAATCTTCAATGCGCAGTTATTATAATTCCTTGATAATTACAATTATACATTAATATTTACCGTCTATATAATTTATGTGTAGATCTTAATTAATTTAGGACACCTGTTCTTGACTGTCGATGACAATATTCTAAGCTTTGTACTGCTTGCCTATTTAACGACATGTTATGGTGGCGATTTCTGACTTTCATCACTGGTTTGCTTCGTCTTGTGTGCTGACGTTGTGATATATCTTACACTTTGTGTCGCCACAGTATTATGTTATCCTTGTTTGGACAATGGGGGACTGTTGACATGCAGTATATGTATGTGGTTACATCATGATGCCACCTCTCACTTATTATTGTTTCTGCAAGTGAGCAATTTTATTTGAGGAAAACCCTTTCTTCTTCAGAAAAAAAAATACATATCATACAAAACATTGGACCTCAGCCATTTTGGATTACATAAATAAATATGTGGAATGCAGTCCTTTTATGACGCTAAGAATGTGTTGTCCACAATAATCTATAAAATATTTGTTAAAACATTATGAACACATAATGCGTGAAATATTTTGTACGAAGACCATCTAAGTTTTATTTATTTTTTCATTTAAAAGAACATATACCTCAATTATATGAATTGATAACCCATTGAAATAAATACGAACTCATGAACATGTTTTTGTGTAGTGACGAAATGTTAAAAAACCAGACAGTTTTGGTACGCTCCGTTATTCTAGAACATTAGTCGAAGGGATAATTGATTAGCTGTTTGTTTCCCTTATGGTATTTCGTATATCTCCGATGGCTATATATTATCTTTTGTAAATGTGATCGACATTTTTGTAACCAGACGTCACCAGTATATACTGGCTTTGATGTCTACGGCCGTAGTCTGTTTGGCAAATGTCATCCGCCACATCGGCGTCATTCGTGTTACAGAATTCCGGATAAACCGTCCTCATTCATAATACAACTGTACGTAGCGTTGTTGTGTCTCTAGGATTTAAAATAATTTTTACTTTCAATTATTGACGCGAGGAATATCTGCAGCATACACAATATTTTCTTATCAAATGTATATTCAGATCCCTTTAACAACAGATATAGATTCCTTTCGTTGGTTGGATGATCAATAGAAAGCCTTCATTACTTTACTTCATAATCATTTTCATGTCACTAAATCCAACAAACGGTATTTGTATTTTGATACAGTACAATCTTGATCCATCAGGTCTTTGAGAGATTTACATACGTATGTCCGAATCATTGTTGTTTACACCTATCGCTATGTTACCATTCGATAGATAATGCAATATTCTCCAGCCTGAATCATGTTCTACAACCAACGGAGAAGACAAACGGTCGAGGTCGCCTGGAGGCCAGGAAACAATGCGGCTTTATTCTTAGTATTTTTTATGGTCAACATATCTATTCATCTTCGTCAAAGCGTGATATCAGCATTCAAATTAAAGAAATTTAGAACAAAATACTACGGCTAAATGCCTGCCAATCACAATGGTCGTATGTATGTAAACATTAACCATTTTACGAGAGATTGATTCTCTTTAATGGAAATTTATATATAAATTAATTCGAACGAACTAAGGTGTAGTTTAAATTAAAACTTCTCTCAAAGAGTACAAAGATTGCATGTACAATCTTCAAGATTACAGGTAATAGACTGTGCTGGTGGACTTTCAGTCGCCGAGGTTAACTGTAATCTGCAGGCCATGTTTTACTTTATTGGAATACAAGCACACTTAAGGATGTACTTACATACTTAACGTACCTTTGAAATAATCTTACTTATAAAAATTACGAAAGGTATTAAATTTGAAGCTATTGCTCTACTCCGTCTAGGTTTTGATATTTTATTTCGATCGATTTTAATTTTCCACGTCATTCAGTTCATGTTGTCATCTGTGTTTCCATGGGTACCTCGTCACTCAGTTTTTCCACGTCACTCAGTTCACATGTGTTGTCACTCAGTTCACGTTGTCGTCTTCTTTGTTTCCATGGGTACCTCGTCACTCAGTTCACGTTGTCGTCTTCTGTGTTTCCATGTGTACCTCGTCACTCAGTTCACGTTGTCGTCTTCTGTGTTTTCATAGGTACCTCGTCACTCAGTTCATGTTGTCGTCTTTAGTGTTTCCATTGGTACTTCGTCACTAAGTTCATGTTGTCGTCTTTAGTGTTTCCATTCGTACTTCGTCACTAACCTCATGTTGTCGTCTTCTGTGATTTCATTAGTAGTTCGTCACTCAGTTCTTGTATTTTCATGTGTCAATCTCAATTTTGAATATTGTATTTAGCATACAACTCTACTTACTAATTTACTAGTGATAAGTTCTCGTTTAAGATAACCACGCACAATGTCGAGATTCAATAGTCAATATTTAAGGTCATGCTAAAAGCCATATATTATCATTGTTTTAGTGGCATGTCGGACTGCGAGTTGTCATTTTAAGACGATATTTATTAGTGCTCAACCTGGCAATTATATAGCGTGATGAATGTTTTAAAACGAAATTTTATCGATTTCTTTGTAGTAACATTGAAAATTGAGCGTTGATTGCGACGTCCGTCAATCCCTATAGAAGCTATGATGTTATTCATCAGGTAATCTGTTGTTTCTGTTTCAACGTCAGTTCCTATAGAAACTGTGATGTTAATAATCAGGTAGTCTGTTGTTTCTGTTTCAACGTCAAACCCTATAGAAACTGTGATGTTAATAATCAGGTAGTCTGTTGTTTCTGTTTCAACGTCAAACCCTATAGAAACTGTGATGTTAATAATCAGGTAATTTGCTGCTTTTTGTTCCATTACTTTGCTAGTATTGAATGAATTTCAGTGTAAAGAAAACCTGTGGAATCTAAGTTGGTTACTGACAAGTAATAGAAAAGACACATCAACACACGACATGACTGATGGACTTGACTGATGGACTTGAAGAAACACAAACATTTAACACCGACACATTACACACCTAATTTACTTCCCATTCACAGCACGAACAGACTCAATATATTAATGCCATGCACAGTATAAGGAACCCGAGTTTAGTGTTGTTACAACGTACTGACTTAATGTACTATTAATACAAACTACCAAGACACGATATACTGAAATGTGTATTTCTAATACACAGTATACTAGATTTACCATAATAAAGACAAAAATCCCCACATATACTGTTGTCATATACAACACACAGACTCAATATACTGTTGTCATTACAATACACAGGCTCAATATACTGTTCATTTAAACACACAGATTCAATATACTGTTGTCATTCTTAACACACAGACTCAATATACAGTTGTCATTCTTAACACACAGACTCAATATACAGTTGTCATTCACAACACACAGACTCAATATACTGTTGTCATTCACAACAAACAGACTCAATATACTGTTGTCATTCACAACACACAGACTCAATACACTGTTGTCCTTCACAACACACAGACTCAATACACTGTTGTCATTCACAACACACAGAATCAATATACTGTTGTCATATACAACACACAGACTCAATATACTACTGTCATTCACAACACACAGACTCACAGTATTGATGTAGTATACATTATTTAGACTGAGGAAAAGCAAAATTATTTAAAAAAAAAGTCACAATCTAGATATGGAGGTACAGTAGCTCCGAAATTTCATTTATTTCAATATTGCATATATTTTAAACAACACAGAGCATTTGCGAATTCTAAACCTAACCACTATTTTAATTTCAATGAATAATCAATCTAATTTTGGTACACCGACTGACTTAGTTATCATACTCATTTCACACTCCATACATTGTCGCGTCATAAAAAAACTCTAAGACTGAAGTTATATATCTGTGTTGAAAAACCAATCTTTTCTGGTGTTGCGATTTATGGTAGCTGTAAATAGAATCCATAATTGCGTCATTCATACGCAAATCTGCCATATTTTGATTAACTAAGTGGGCAAACTTGAGGAAGAAATTTCTTGTTCAAATTACATTTGTTAATTTATTTGTACGAATAAACAATGAATAAAAAACTCTTATCATCAAACGTCAACAAAAGCATGTCTAACATCAGACATACTATCATAGTTCCTTACTTATTTCTATGAATACAATGATTTCTACAATTTCCCTTTTCCTTATACACATTAAAGCTATGAACAAGTTTGTAAGCGGACACAATAGTCATAGCTACTTTATGATTTTCTTTACCTTTTTACAAAAAGCATAAGCATTCGTTTTTTAGACTCTTATCAGAACAATATGTTTCCTGAAAGGAGCATCGATTCTACGTCACCGTCAAAACTAAAGCTACAACATATTTTTGCAGATCGAATAAATCCATGTTTATATATGTTGTGATATTTCAGCATTACAATTACTGTAGGAAACATAACCAGCCTTGTATTTCAGTGCTATGTCTATAGGTGTAGCCAGATAAACCATCCTAAATACTTCACTTTATCTTCTGTCCTCACTTCATACCAGCACGTTCATCACTTCTATAATTAGTTTCAAACGTTTGCGTCTCGTAACGTTTATCATCAAAATAAGGCATCTGCCAAAGACGTACCTCTACCATAGCGTTCAAATTGTGATGTGTCGGTTTAACATAACCACTGTAAGTTGTTAGTATGTGTGTTCTTTTTCCCCATTACCTTATATTACCTTATAAACAATCATACATTTTGTATATATAATTTTACAATTTCCAATATATTTCTTTTGTAACAAACTTAAGACGGTACAATTTACCATAATATTAATAAAAAAGTCAAGTTATGTTTGAGTATTTAAATCTTACCTTGAATGTTAAGATCCGGACAAAAAATGTCAATTACCATCTTAATCCATTGCTTGTTACCGACATTCTGACTTGCCCTTGGTCTGTAAGTGTCTCACAACAATAATCTTCATTTAATTGACTAATTACGGCCAACGAATCATCAAAAACATGACCAGAATATGTGTTATTCAGAGTAACACTGCGACCGTCTCTGATTAACAAAACTCCGTTAGTTTTATGGCGTAGAAGTAAAAAACAGAAGTATTCCTGACATGTTTGGTATCGCAAAATATTGTTTTGTACCTAACCTTCCATTACACAGATGATGATAAAATCATGTTAGAGACACTGCCTTGTACATACCACCGGCCACTTGTTAGTCCTGAAAGTTGTCATCGGTTTTTTGTTTATAAACTGAGAGATAAAACTTTTTGTCTCTTTTATATAGCTGGTTAGTCTTCCACAGAAAGCGATCTTTCAAAATAAAAAATGAAAATGTTGATTTGAAGTGTCTGGTTTGGTGTCCAGTTCATGAAGTATTACTCCTACGGAAATAAAAAAGTGAATGACACAGTGTGTCAGATATACTCCTCCACTGACGTTTCTCCCGTAAACATTGTTGGCTTATAGAAGTGATTTGAGTGATGTTCGCTGGCCTATCTATCTGTATAGGCCTATTACGTCTCACAAACTGTTGGCTTATTCCAGGCGTGATCGATAGCGCTGTGTTTATATACTGAGGCCTTCCTTCTGCATGTGTAACTCAGAGACCAGACCGGCCAATCGTTGGCAGCATTTTGCCAAGTTCAGAGGAGCAACCAACACGGAGATACTTGTCAAATTACAAATATTATTGGAGGATATTGCTAGTTTTGTTCGTGCCTTTCTTATATGATAATGCAGGTTACCGCTAAACATTCGATGTCATACCGTCTGTGTGTATTTCGTCATACTTGCAGGCATAAGGTGTCTATATGAGTGTGTGTGTAAGCTAAATATCATTAACATTGATTTAATTCTACATTTAAGGCACATCAGGTAAGTGTCAGTCCATGTTACTTGTTGCAATAAAACCTTGTTTCTTTTTAAAATTTACAACAGAAATCATTTTGGGATTAGAAAAATAAAACAGCAGGTATAAGGTGGAATGTAGAGTTACAATTAAGATATTTTCTATTATCATAGCCGACTAACGCGAACATAGAAAAAGCTATCACAAGCCATTTAATCCGTATATAGCAAATATTTATTTATTTATCGATTTATCTATGAATAATACAATATGAATATAATTTCTAAATATTTCATATAAGATATGATGCATATACATAATTATGCAAATGTCACATATGCAAGCCGTCCTATGAGAGGACAACTTACATATATTGCTCAGGGCTCTTCAACCATGAAGGCCTTATTAGAAATCAAATTGTACATATTGATATCCATAAATAGATTTAAATATAGACATATAATTGTCAAAGAAACCAAATATACCATTTTTTCAATTAAATAAAAAATATATCTATGACGACATCCAATCACATACCCCCAAAACTAAAACACACCTCCAAAACTCAAACACACCTCCAAAACTTTAACGCACCTCCAAAACTGAAAAAACACACCTCCAAACCTAAAACACACCTCCAAAACTAAAACACACCTCCAAAACTCAAACACACCTCCAAACCTAAAACACACCTCCAAAACTAAAACACACTTCCAAAACTAAAACACACCTCCAAAACTAAAACAAACTCCAAAACTAAAACACACCTCCAAACCTGAAACTTACCTCCAAAACTAAAACACACCTCCAAAACTAAAACACACCTCCAAAACTAAAACAAACCTCCAAAACTAAAACAAACCTCCAAAACTAAAACACACCTCCAAAACTAAAACACACCTCCAAAACTAAAACACACCTCCAAAACTAAAACATACCTCCAAAACTAAAACATACCTCCAAAACTAAAACATACCTCCAAAACTAAAACACACCTCCAAAACTAAAACACACCTCCAAAACTAAAACACACCTCCAAAACTAAAACACACCTCCAAAACTAAAACACACCTCCAAAACTAAAAAACTCCAAAACTAACACACCTCCAAAACTAAAACACACCTCCAAAACTAAAACACACCTCCAAAACTAAAACATACCTCCAAACCTAACACACACCTCCAAAACTAAAACACACCCCCAAAACTAAAACACACCTCCAAAACTAAAACACACCTCCAAAACTAAAACACACCTCCAAAACTCAAACACACCTCCAAAACTAAAACACACCTCCAAAACTAAAACACACCTCCAAAACTAAAACACACCTCCAAAACTAAAACACACCTCCAAAACTAAAACACACCTCCAAAACTCAAACACACCTCCAAAACTAAAACACACCTCCAAAACTAAAACACACCTCCAAAACTCAAACACACCTCCAAAACTAAAACACACCTCCAAAACTCAAACACACCTCCAAAACTTTAACGCACCTCCAAAACTGAAAAAACACACCTCCAAAACTAAAACAAACCTCCAAAACTAAAACACACCTCCAAACCTAAAACACACCTCCAAAACTAAAACACACCTCCAAAACTAAAACACACCTCCAAAACTAAAACACACCTCCAAAACTAAAACACACCTCCAAAACTAAAACACACCTCCAAAACTAAAACACACCTCCAAACCTAAAACACACCTCCAAAACTAAAACAAACCTCCAAAACTAAAACACACCTCCAAAACTCAAACACTAAAACAACCTCCAAAACACACTAAAACACACCTCCAAAACTAAAACACACCTCCAAAACTAAAACACACCTCCAAAACTAAAACACACCTCCAAAACTAAAACACACCTCCAAAACTAAAACATACCTCCAAAACTAAAACACACCTCCAAAACTAAAACACACCTCCAAAACTAAAACACACCTCCAAAACTAAAACACACCTCCAAAACTAAAACACACCTCCAAAACTAAAACACACCTCCAAAACTAAAACACACCTCCAAAACTAAAACACACCTCCAAAACTAAAACACACCTCCAAAACTAAAACACACCTCCAAAACTAAAACACACCTCCTCCTAAAAAAACCTCCAAAACTAAAACACACCTCCAAAACAACCTCCAAAACTCCAAAAACACACCTCCAAAACTAAAACACACCTCCAAAACTAAAACACACCTCCAAAACTAAAACACACCTCCCAAAACTAAAACACACCTCCAAAAACACACCTCCAAAACTAAAACACACACCTCCAAAACTAAAACACACCTCCCCAAAACTTAAACACACACCTCCAAAACTAAAACACACCTCCAAACCTGAAACTTACCTCCAAAACTAAAACACACCTCCAAAACTAAAACACACCTCCAAAACTAAAACACACCTCCAAAACTAAAACACACCTCCAAAACTAAAACACACCTCCAAAACTAAAACACACCTCCAAAACTTCCAAAACACAAACTAAAACACACCTCCAAAACTAAAACACACACCTCCAAAACTAAAACACACCTCCAAAACTAAAACACACACCTCCAAAACTAAAACACACCTCCAAACCTAACACACACCTCCAAAACTAAAACACACCTCCAAAACTAAAACACACACCTCCAAAACTAAAACACACCTCCAAAACTAAAACACACACCTCCAAAACTAAAACACACCTCCAAAACTAAAACACACCTCCAAAACTAAAACACACCTCCAAAACTAAAACACACCTCCAAAACTAAAACACACCCCCAAAACTAAAACACACCTCCAAAACTAAAACACACCTCCAAACCTACGCACCAACAATGTGAACACGATTCGAAAGGTGAGAGAGTTTTACTTTCGAAGACGTCTTCAATGTGCACAGCGAACACTTTCTGACAGTACGTTATAAGAGTCAGAAGAATTTTGGACTTACAGGAGTGTTACTATACCAATTACTGAAAGGAAAGATGCTTTATCTTTTTTTCCTAAATGATAGATACTTCCGGCATTTATTTATATATAGCAGTTAAAAAGTAAAGTTTATAGTTTAAAGCCATCAGATAGGTAGAATTCGCCTCGGAAAGTTTAATTGGTCTCTGGAATCCAGAATACCTAAGCCAAACTTTAACTACATAATACATCTTTGAAATGTGTCTCATATTGTGCAATATATATATACATGTGTATTAAATCCACTTCACAAGCCACAATATGGCTTCGTATTATCAAATGTCGAGACAAAAGTTCTCATTAATAAATAAACATTTTGTCACTGTAACATGTGTTCGTAACAATATTAAAATGTTTTTGAAGCTAGACGTTATGCATATATACAATATATATATATATATTGTTTAACATTTTTGATAAGAGGTTTGTTAGTGACCGGTATTTGTATGTTACTAGCTATACGAGAAGTCTTGCTGTATCATTTCTAATTGATGGGGAAACATCATTTCCTTCCCAACTTGCATAACTATCTCACATTTTACATAATAAGTATGTCTAAGTACTGTAATTATGTTTTAATACCACAACTTGGAAAGGTTTTAAAAACTTACTTAAACAGGCCAAGCATCTCGTATCTCAACTAGTCGAAATTGAATTTAAGTCGTTCCTGCTTGCTGGATATAAAACTAATATTAGTTATGAGAGTCAAGTGATCTTATCACGTGACTAGCTCGAGATGTGAGCATGGGAGTCGATTATATGTAATGTAGGATTAATCATGTGATGTATTTAAAATGTGTTTTTAA